GGGTGTTGAGCGTATTTGTGTGTTGTATGTGGGAGTTTCTGGCGAGGTGTGATCATGAGGTTTGGTCTACCATGTCTTACTGCAGGCCTTCTTTGGGGCATATATGTCCAAATAGGCCCATGCCGTAACTGAATGTCCGCGGACAACGTGGACAGGTGCGACGGATCTATGCTGGCGCCCCCGGCACTGCTTCTATAGCCTCTGCGATGGATTCGCAAGTAACAGACCAGACCGATGCGTGGCATAAATATGCGGTGGCAATATGAGCGGGATAGGTTATTAGCTGCCGATTTTCTGGTGGTCGCGATGTCGTTGGAGGTGGCGACGTTGATGGTGGGAGAGGTGGTAACGCTTATGTTGAGGGAGTTTTTGGGTGTGTGACGTCTGTTTCGCATGCCGACATTGCCGTGAGTTCTGCAATCGCGCTTGCGCATATGACCGAGAAGACCTATGTATTGTCTGAGTGTCCTGCGACAGTATGGGCAGGTGATGCGCGTGTAAAGGGTTTATATCGGGACGCCAGGAAATGGTTCGCCGGCTTCAGGGCGATTGACTCGTAAATGGCGGACCAAGCCAATGCATGGTGTGAAGGTATGCTCGCAGTGGGGACGGGTTCGCATTGTCGGTGGAGAGCACGATTTTGGCGTTAATGGAGGTTATGGCGGGTGACAGGGTGTCAAGGGTGTTCTCGCCGGTGGTGGGATAGGTGACCGTCGACGTCGACGCTGGAATTGTGGTATCGATGGTGGTAGCGGTGGGTGGATTTTCGGAAGCGGGCGGAGGTGGCACGGTAGTACATTGGGTTCGGATATGTTCGCTGAAGCCGATCAGTGTGCAGAATTTCCGTTGACGTCGAGGACACGTTGGAGAAGATTGGGTTCTGGGCTTTTTGTTCCAGCATGTATGATTCTTACGATTCGCTCTTTTGGCTTTGACAGCGGCGATTCTGCCGTGTTCGTAGATTGCTGCTCCAGTCTCCATTGCTGTTATCCAGGCCGGTCAATCCTGTCCGAGATCCTCTCAGGTCACCGGATTTCGTTGCTTGATGAGGCCCTCAGGGTATCCTTGTGGCCTCGATTTTGTCCTCCTCCAGACTCTAGTGTGATTTAAACCAGCAATATTGATGTCCAAACCGAGTGCAGGGTTTTGCCCTAAAACCTGTAGACTTACAACCGGTATTTTATTGACTGTGATGCTAATTGCATCCTACCACCCTCCTTGTATAACGAATTACCGGCGACTCAGCTATTTGCTTCTATTAGAGAAGTTGACTTGTCCAGGTTTAAGACTCTGATTTAGACTCGTGAATTTAGATCTTAGGCAGTAAGTTTATTTGATTTTGTTGATAACTAGGTGGGTAGGTGCGTTTAAGGCGTTTTTCTGGGTTTTATTCCATGTAGGCAAAAAGGACCACGTAGCTTCCTTTATCGCGCGTCTGTTTTGACACCTAGCTGTCAGCATTTTGCACTGCAATGCTCTTGTCAGGCCCAAAAAGGCGTCTCGTTCATGCTTGATTTTTGATTTTCCCTATATTTGCCGTAACAAAGACCTGCTCTGCAAGGTCAATTATTTTTAAGAGTCTAATGCTCTTCCGAAGGCAGAAGATGTATGGTGTTAGTAGGTAATGGGCTATGGCCAGTTGACGGCAGCGAAATGGCTCTTCCATTCTGTTGTTCATTATACTTGTCGAGTGTTTTTCCTACTTTTCAACCCCAGTGACATTTTTCTAAACAACTTATTCAACTCCGAACGGCCATTGGGTATCTATATAACCGGCGGTTCGATAGGTACTGCCTAGAGATAAGTACGTAAAGGACTGAGAATGTTGGTCCGACGGTTAGCTTGGTGCTTGGGGGAGGGAGTCGGTGTAGGCGGGCTGATTTTGGTTACAGCGAAAATCCACCAAATTTGGGAGGGGGGGGGATAGCCAGCGTGGAATACTAGTCAGTTATGTGGGAGATCAGCAGACGGGAAAGGCCTGAGGTTGTTCCCCGCAGTGCGTTACAACGGTTGTTACCATGACAGTGCGAGGTAGATTCCACGACCTAACAGCTTACACGGTTTTGGTTTTATCCTTTGTACTGACGCGGCTCCTGGCTAGCGAAGGAGATGCCCAATCGTCGCCCGAGGTAGGACCTTAACTGGTGCTTTTCGATCCAGCACTTGGCCAGTGTACATAGGGTGTTTCCTAATGGGACTTCTTGTTACCCTATTTTCTGCTCTTAACAGCCATTTCGGCATA